TCAGGCGAGGCCCCAAGTTCTGCAGCACCCTCCTCACCGAGGAAATCGTACAAGGCAGCGAACTCCTGAAAGGATCCAGGTAGCTTGCAAGCGCACATCTCACCAAACCATCTTTGTCCGGAATGGTCGGCATCTCACTAGCCCGAGCTTGCAGCCAGAGACACCTCCAGGATCTCCTCCCGGCCTCCCGAAGCACATCAAAATATGGTTCCGATGCTGGGAATTGGTGCATCACTAGGTGGAGGAGAGTAGTGTATTTGGGCAGCTCGGGCCCCTGATAGCGTATTCTGCCTGAAGGAGCCGAAGGGTGGGGGGGGGGGGACAGTGGCCAGAACCCTCAACAAGAACAGATCAGATCTTTCAAGTCCTGGAGCTCCAAACCCGAACCAGAGCCATAGGTCAGGCTGAAGCTGAAGCTTGCGTTCACTAACCCGAGAGACAGTCGCCATGCGAGCTGACCATGTGCTGCGATCATGGCCGGGAGCACCACTGACACCGCAAGATGCTAGCCGAACTAGAAAAACAACTAGAGGCACTGCATGGAACCAGGTTGCAAGCGCTGCTGTCAAAATCTGGTGGGGAACAGAATCCTAAGTCCACCTTGCTTCGCAATGTCCAGCCATCTGCTGCCTTGCAGGTGCAGCAGATCCTCGTCGTCCCACAGGAGCAGTCCTGCGAGTAGCACTAGGACGGCCCTACCCGCTTCTGGCTACTGGGTTCGAGTCTAGCCTCCACGCAGCCCTAACCCCTAAACCCTGAAGCCCAAGTATTCCCAAATCTTGAATTTACCTGTAAGGTTGTGTCAAGGGGTGCTTCAGAAGCAGGAGGACGGTCTGCCAAACTACGTACACAGCAACCATCCGTCGGTAAACAGCGCACGCCCCCGTAAAGGCCTGCACCCAATTGCACTTTACCAAACGGAAAGAACATGAAGAGCATGCGGGATGTTACCTTGACAGACCAGGACAAATCGCGGCACATCCCGAAGCCTCAGACAGACCATTCTCCCTCGAAGCACTTTGCACTCGGTTGTATTTTCAGACTACAGTCCTATAAAGACATGGGTACAGGATCTAACTCAATAATGTACACAGTCTTTCCAAAAGTGGACGTACGGATATGACGGTGTCGTGAAGAATGTCGCTCTGGCGAACCAGCGACATCACACCAAGCGTTTGCTGAAGGAAAGTATGACCGACTGAAACAATTCATTTCGTCCCAACGCTTCGAGGGTCTGCCAGGCTTTTCGGCTTGCGAAATTGAAACACGCCCCGAAACGACTGGCGGAGTGCAGACGCTGGATCTCATACCGGCGCATGGTGTCAGCCCATGCCACCCTCGACACGATGTCAACCAACGATGGATCATGATGGACCGCTGCATTTTTCGTCTCAGCACCTTAACTTCTTGCACCTTTGCTAGGGGGAGGCTTTCAATATCATGTTGCCGTCAGTCAGCGCCAAGGTATGCAATGGTTGTTGCACTTGCAGTTGTAATTATGTGGTCTTCTCAGGAACTCCAATCCACCAATCCAACATTTGCCATGAAAGCAGTCTTTCCAACATGGGCACCATGCCCTGGCATGTTTTGCATGCAACATCAGATCATCCGCGCATCGGATGTTTGTCAAATTCGCATCGGCTCCCCCAATGCCACCCCCCCCCTTATCCTGGCCCACCTGAACCCCCGGGCCCCCGCTCCTTTCCTCTGGACCATTCACTGGTCCCAAGGTCAGGTGCACAAGTTTCATTTTCTCTAGTGGAATTCTGTTGTTTGTAGGCGGTCTCTCCCTTGCCCCTCTCACTTCCCACTGTCTTCTCCTCCTCCTGCTGCCTCTGCTCCGTCAATGACGCCGTAAAGAAACAGCTGAGCAATTCGTCGGCTCTCTAGTTGTGGCCGGGCCGAGGCGGACGACACGAAGTGTTTACAATTAACTACTTCACCGATGTGAATTCCTTCATCACACTTGCAGGCTGGCTTCCAAAATCTTCCAAAGCATATGCTGGTATGTCGTTCCAGCCGAATGGATAATGCATTCACCCACTGCTCCGGAACTTTATAACAGAGGTTGATTCTTGTCTTACGTGCGTTCTTCCTTCCTTCCATCCTGAGACACTTGCACCAGCTGCACACGAACGGACATGTCTCGCCATCCCATCCATCCCAATGCTCCCGGGACTCAGGAGATCCTTCGGATGCCTCTCGAAGAAGTGCCATCTGCGAGGTGTAGGGCTCCCCTAGGCGCCCGTCGTGCGCAAGCAAGATGTGAAAAGCCATCCAGATGGAGTCCGATGCATCCTGATCCTGAAGAAAGAGCAGTACCCGCATGCACCGGCAATGGCGAGCCAGCCTAACTAGCCACAGGCAGCACCTGCTGTCATATGATCTAGGCAAGCATCCAAAAGCCTCTGCAACACCTGACATTTTCTGGCGGCACTCGGAGTCCAACATGTCCTGCAACGAGTAGCTTTGTGAAACATCAAGGAGCCCCGCGAGGTCCCGATAGAAACCTGCGGTGAAGACTCGATACAATGTGCTTCGAACCCGAGAAGATGGGAAAAAAAGAAACCGCAACACGACAATCTCAGCATGAAGCCAACAACTGCTTCAAAGCACTGGACAGGAGATGTTTGGCCGTTTGGCCTCTCCGGGAGTGCCAGGATCGGTTCCCCGGCCACGAGGCGCCTCGAAGCCCGGAAACGGCCGCCTGAGAAAGCCTCGGCTTGGGCGAGGCTTGACACCCTCTTTCCGACTGCGTTGCTGACGGAGCGCCCCATAGGGCAGGTACTGACAGGATATCCCCGTCCCCTTCACTGCAAAACATCCGTCGACCCTCACTTGTTCTTCGGCTTCTTAGCGCGCTTTTGTGGGCATGCGTCGCTTTGCAGGCTTACCCGCCTCAAGGCCACCCACTTACAACTCTCAGGGCATACGGGCTTTATATGTTTCTTCGGACAAGTAAGGCGAGAATACATGCACGACTGAAAGAATGTGTTTTCGGCGGCGGATCTTCGCGGTGTTGTTGCAATTGATTGCTTTGGGCCCTCCGGTCGCTACCTCTGAAGAAAATTGACTGGGACGCCACGCGTAAGTGGGCCTATAGCAATCCTTGTGCTCGCACTGTGGCCTGTGGCACCACGTGGTCTCCTGCGGCCCTTGGCGGTCGCATGTCTGTTCGTCCTGCTACCTCTTGTATCTGGCACCCTTGTGGTGAGCTGGGCACTTGGGAGCATGTTGCATGGCTTTGTCCTTGCAGGCCGGCAGGGTCCTATTGTCCTCGGCCTCGCTTGGTGGGGTTGGGTTGTCAAAGGCCAACAGGTTGACAATGTTGCTCTGCATCGTTGGTTGATCACAGTCCAAGAAAAGCTCTGGGCAACTTTTCATCCCAGGTGAATTGCTTGCCGTTTCCCTGGGCTCTTGGTAAGGTCGCTTGCTTGCTTGGTTGCCTCTCTTGCTGTTTGGTTGCGCTGGCTCCTTGTGGGCCGCGCTTGTGCCTTGCCCGTTTGGGGGTATTGCCACCTACAAAGTTGTTTGTTCGCAATGTTGTACCAGGAAACGGGAGCCGAGGCCGTCGGGCTGCAGGCCGTCGGGCTGCAGGCGGTCGGGTTGTGGGCGGGGCCTGAGCCTGTTTTGATTAGAGGCCGTACCAGGAGGGTGCGGCAGAGCCCAGCACCGTGGTACCAGGCGTTGTGGCAGAGCCAGCCGGGCCTGGTGCAGGGTTGCGGCAGAGCCAGCAGGGGCAGCGAGCTGGGGGGGGGGTGGCGGCAGAGCCGTAGCAGGCCGTCCCGTCCCGTTTGCTTATTTGGCAGCCTGCGCCCCAAACCCTGCTGTAATGATTTATGTGACAGGGACCAAGGCTAACTCGGCCTAAGCGTGCCGGCAAGCCTGGAGGCCGGCTCTGTCGCCCGCCTGGGGCTACCAGCGCCCGCCTATCCCAAAAAGACGAGAGTGGGGTGGCGGGCGGGGTTTCAGCACTCACACTCGGACAATCTAGGCGAGGATTCTGGCACGGCGAACGCTCATTGGCGAGACAACGGCACAGTGCAAGTGGAACTGGGATCATGGATGATCATGGTACCTGGGACCGAGGAATTCATACAAAGTCTGGAGAGGATGCATGTTTTTTGAATGCGTTATGCTGATGACTTGCATGTTTCAAGTCGCACGAACCTGGCTACAGGCTCCACAACGGTCAGGATTTCCAGCATGTGTGTTAGCTGAGTATGGGGGCGACCCTTTTGAGCGGCATGAGCATGGTTGCATTCGCTTCAGAATTGGGAACTGATGAGAGACCAAATCATCAGCTTGGGACGTCAGACTCGACTTTGCCTAAAAAGAGCAGGGGTCCGATGCGGTAGACCTACACACGTCCCCTCATGGACCGCACAACGTCGGTAGGATGAGAGGGATAGATGTTCTTGTGACCTGAAGGGTCGACTGTTAGTGCCAGCGGGCGGGTTTAGGGTTTTAGACTCTCGCAACTTGAACAATGCAGGACGCTGCACCATGGTTCGAGTTTTGTTTTTTTTTGGGGGGGGTTTAAGGGTTCCTTCTTGCTTGGCACCCCAAAAAGAGCCAAGCTGCGGTGTGATTTAACAAAGCTCCTTCAAAGGACACCATGGCAGATCGAGATCGCAGATTCTGTCTGAGACTAGTGAAACAGAGGGGGCACATGAACTAGGTAATCCTGGGCCAACGAGGCCTTTCCATCCAGGGCACCCTGTGCAGCGGAAATGTGAGAACTGCCATGGTAGCCTACCGTGCCATGTTCTGAGCCCGGCTCAAGGAAGCGACGGGCAGGCGAATTAGAGAGCCGCTTGTACTCGCCCGGCCAGGTTCCCCGCACATCGCACTCGTGGTTGTCCCTACTGAGGCCAAGACGTGTTGGCCAGGCCTTGTGGGCCAAACCTGAGCTCTGCAAGGAGCCCTCTCACAAGACACGACTGACGAAGCCGAAGTCCCCTCGAAGGCCCCTGCAGCTCTAATTACACCCAAGCAGCTCGTGGATCTTCAGGATGCTTTGCTCCTCGGACTGCCGCTCTGATGTAACTTTTCACTGCAGGCTCCCACTGCAGCTGGGACTCTATGAAAGCGCCCATCTTTTCAGTAAGCCTGGACTGCGCAAGACGTACATAGATGGCTGGCAGAACCTACATCGCGCACATAGCTAAGCTGCGTGTAGCTCAGCGTTGCGATGGCCCAGACCGCGTTCGCCAGATTCTGCCTGAAACGGTTGCAAGCCCTTGTGCGGGAATGGCCCCCTCGTTTCTGCAACTCCGCTGGGAGTCACGCGCGTTGAACTCTTCAACACGGCGCATGGACGCGCCACACCTCGCAAGCCCACAAAAGCAGACTCGGGACGGCTACTCTTTCAAACAAGTGCCCCCACTCGCCAGCCGCAGGCATGATCTGGAAATCACAGTCACTGCCATGTATATACAGCGGCATCGGCACACAAGATCTTAAGCTGCGAACAGGCTGTCCACAAGCTTCTCGGATTTGTTCAGCAGTTTGGCGTTCGCCCAGAGGATGTTCCTGGCACTCCCACCGAACGGTGAGAAGCTTGGTTGTGGAGGGGCAAGACTGAGACAGCACGACAACAAACTCGTCCCTCTGCGAATGCAGATCATTTGGACCCCAGACAAGTCCACCGTAGCGAGGGCGCTGCTCAACACGCCGCTGCAGAAGAGTCATCACTGCAGCGAAGGGGTTGCAGTTTTCCTTCTCTGAGTAATAATTAAACCAACAGGAATGTTGGTCTACGCCCTCCTTCAGCCGGACCAGCTCCAGTGCCGGGATTGATCTCAGGTACCCGTACAACTCGCTTATGTTTTCAGCTGGCCACTTTATGGAAAAATCGGGCCATTCTAGCAGTTCTTGAAAGGGAACTTCCAAATCATCAGACAGGATAACGGGAATGCACCCAGCCAGCAAGGCCACGAAGAGGTGGATGGTCCATGGGGTGATGCCTCTGGGTGCCAGGCAGAACAGGGAGCGCCCCATGAGCACATGGTATTCTTCGATGAAACCGCCAACGCTGACACCGGAAAGACCGGCGAGCTCCTCCATGATACGTGTGCGGACCGACACATTCGCATAGCTCTGCGTGTTTCCGGCATGCCGACCGTGGAAGCAGAGGAGGACATCCCTGTCTTCAAGGGGTCGGTTCTTGCTTAGAAGCTCCCTTGCCCTCCAAAGGTCCACGTGGCCAGGGATGATAATGTCCTTCCAGCGGCTGAAGGATGGCTCAGGCTTCTCGAGATTGAGGTCCTCGCAGTGGTTTTCCACTTGCAGGAGGATGGCCGAGCGGAGACCCAAGCGCCAGCCAGGGATGCGGCACGGGTGGCGACCCCAACTGAAGAGAAACACGTGATCCGCACCGTCCTTGCGATCGAACCATGGGCCGAAGCTTCGAAGATGATGGAGCACGTTGTGAAACAGCAAATCAGCCTCGGCGTCATCCGAGTCGAAAGCATCGAAATAGTTGAGGACTTCAATGCATTTGAAATAGGATGGCACGAAGAAGATCTCGGCATCGTGAGGGTCATCCGTCCGACAAGAAGAGGCCTCTTCTTGAAATCTCTTGTGAAACAAGAGCTCCGTCCCGTACATGCCGAACAGGCATTGCAGGGGCTTGGACATCATTGCGGGCAGGTATCCAGCCGGGCCCGAATGCAGAAGCTCGGCTGGCGCAAGGCCCAATCCATCCGGCGCCGGATAAACGAAGACTTTCGGACCTGTGCACGGTACTGTCTTATCCTTGCCACCGGGACCCAGCACAGCTTGATATAGTTGGAAGGTGCTGAAAAGTCTCTCCACTTCCCAGCCTTCCTGCGAAGCCTTCGCCTTTGCATCTTCCATCTCGTCTTGGGGGATGCTTTCCAGTATCTCCGCGCTCAATTGCAGGACATCTCTCGCTTCGTTTCGGCCTCCTTCGTAGTCGATGGCCGGGAGCGCTTGGAGGAAAACTGTCAAGACGCCGAAGAGGCAGTCACTGGCCACAGCTGCAAAGAGCTCCGTGCTCTGCATGAAGATCCGCGTCCACTTGGCGAAGAATCGGGCATCCTCCAAGGAAGCGCCCGAGTCGATGTGAAGGCTGGACCAGTTGAGGACATAGTCCTGCCAGAAGTTCTCCAAGTGTGTCGCTGGGCCTAGATCCAAGACATCGTTCAGAGAACACTCCGTCCAACCACTTGCTGACCGACTGCCCCCCACATACAATGCCAGCACTGCCAACTTGACGCCATGTCGTCGATGTTTCATGCGAAACTTTGTAGTGGACGGCTTCGCTAAAGAATGGATATAACGTCTAACTGCAAATTGAGCAATGACTCAGAAACCTCAAAAACAAGGTGATCGTGGCTGGGCGCACCTTGGCATTCTATTTAGAACCCGACTCGAGAGAGCTGCGCCACAGAACGTCATTAGGGCAGGCACTGCACTTCAGCAGTTCCAAGGAACGGGCAACATATCCGACTCTGCCGTGCCACAGGGAACAGCACATGTAAGTAGCACATGGCACCTTCAGTCCCCGGCTCCACAGCAGCTTAGGCCGGAACGCCAGGTTCACGGCATGAAACTCGCCAACGCGGGCAGCCTTGCAGGCTGACGTGAGAGCACAACTGCACGAATCACACCAGGCAGCTCAAGTTCCAAAGCGACCACGCCATGGAAGTATACGAAGACATAAGCAAGCAAACATCTAATGTTCAATATCGTATATGACAGTCGTTTGCCCCGCATCATCTTGTCTGCAATCTCTGAAGATGTGGCGAATGGCTCCAAGCAATACTTGCCAATTCCATGTTTCAGGCAGACAACGACTTGGTTGCAACTCGGGACTAGGGACCCTTTCACTTTCGATTGCTGCATGCGAGAGACACTCCGATTGTTTGGCAAACCGATCTTCGCAACTTCCGAATGTCTGGCCGTTACTCTCCATGATTGCCACCGTATCGCGTATCGCCTGTTCCTCGGCCAGCTGATCAATCACGGCCGCATCTGCACAAGCAAGCTTCGCCACCGCCCAGGAGAATCGCGAGACCTTGGAAGGCTTGGATCTTCTGCCGATGATTCTAGTTGCGCCGAAGCCGAATCGTGACTTGGCAGCCACGCTTGAGACTGTGGGATCCCCGAACAGGCGAGGTTATTCGATGTTGCTCGTTATGATATTTCTCCATGTTGGGGCCCTCAACGTCTGTCATGAGCAATGGCCTTCCGTGCACAGTAGCTTTGCCACCAATCAACCCGGGAGACGGAATGAGTTTTGAACAAGAGCCCCTACACCCAGATAGCCTGCGACGCCTTTTCAGCAGCAGCTTTCTGCGTCGATTTCAAGCATCGAATCGACAAGCACGCAAGGAGAAGGCACGGTGTTCGGAAACTGCCATGTTGCCCACCTTTAATCAAGATGTTGAAAGTCCTTCTCCGTGCAACGCTGTGCCTCTGCTTTCACTTCATGGTTTGCTGCCGTCAGTATTACTTCGCGGTCGGTCGCATGGTGTCTTCAACTGACCTCTTCAGCGTCAAGGCGTCAAGCTCGCTATCTCCTGCCCTCCGACCCTTGTAAACCCACATATACACACCTTCAAACACACTCCCACAGAATGCAGAAATTGCAAAAAAACAATACACCCACACATGAAGACGAATCATGCTACGTACACCAACAACTTCGGCTTGCTGGGCCCCGAGTGCCGATGTTTTGGCAACAATCGCGCCTCAGCAAAACACCCAACGTCTCGTGCTTCTCGAGCATCCAGGCCGCTAGTGGTGTTTCCGGGAGCGGTGCATCCTGCAGCTAGGTGGCATGGGAGCTTTCCAAACCCAAATCATGGTTTGCCTCGCGGCCGGATGATGTACAGGAGCAATACACCTCAAAAAACACAAGCAACCGGCAAGCTGTCGGACCGATGGCAGCTTCGCTAGGGTTGAGCAATTCTTGCCTTGCGCCATTCGCCAGTCTCATCCGTCCCGAAGGTGTCAATTTGCAGACCATGCTCAGCGGTGGTCACCTGTCTAGCACTCTAGCATACTCTAGCAGTAGCTGCTAGGCAGGTCTTCATCATACTAGGCTGGGGCGGTGTTGCGCTGAGTGGCAATGAGAGCATCTTTGTGAGGCATGGTGCGCACGGCCACCGTGGGTTTCCAAACCACCTCGAAGGTTCTGCGGTTGCCAGTTGGCATGAACCGGCGAACGTCCTCCAGCAATGTCTGAACAAAAGGAAACGAGCATGAAGCTGTGTAATACTATGTAGTTATATCAATTATATCCGACAGTCCTGCGCAGACATGAGCATGAGACGTTCGCCGAATTCGGCAGCCAAGGCTGCTGCCCGAGCAGTCTTGTCAACTTCCTATCATCCAGAAACAAGAATGTGCTATCTGAGTGCTCACCTCTCCCTCTCTCCACTTCAGACAAGAGCAGCCTTGACATGACAATCTTCTAGTATGGCTTGACGGCAACTTGTTCCAGGGATATGCATTGCAAAGCATGGCAGAGCGCTGCGTGCACGCTCCTCCTCTGCAGAGGCATCCACAGCCGGCGCTGCGACTGGGACTTCCGTGGAAACTGGCTCCTGGATGCCAACCAACCACAATTCATGCCTGTATTGCTCCTTAATCACGAAGCCCCTCTCGCCTTGGCTTCCACCCGGTCACTCTTCCCGTCAGCTCGCTGAACTAAAGCTCCGAGTTGATGATGCCGAAGCATCACCCATGCCTGAACTCATGTTCGGGATCGTTCTTCGAGGGCCAGCACTCACAAGGAGGATGCTCTTGCAAATCACATATCAATCACGCACCCCCGTCAGCACCACTCGAATCTCCATCTAGCCCTGCAGTGTTCTGTAGTTGCGCTGCAGCCACGGATTCTGGTGATCTTGTCATATCTCCTTTCATGACCAGCGAGCACCAGGCGAGCAATAGCTTCCGCTCTCGGACTAGCTAGCTGCGCTAGCTTGCCAAGACTCGGCTGGCTCCTCTGCCTTTCTTTCTCTCCTGCTCCCTACTGCGCCTTCCTAGACTGCGCTAATCTCAGCAACGGCTGCATAAGGCATCGTGAACAACCCTTCACTCATCTGCTTGAATCGACCGTCATTACACTTGAAACCAACGTTATCCTGATGCTTCCGCAAGTCGTTGTGTCGGACAAATGATTTTGTCATATTTTGTCAACCATGCTAACGGCTCAGTGGAGACACGTTGGTCCCTGCCTCCACCAGACTTCCATAGCCACCTTTGAGCTTGTAGTGAAGCTTCCGCCAGGCCCCTGTGACATCTGCATCCTCACGTCAACAAACCACGTGAACCACACGAGGTCGGGTAAGTCAGCCATCGCTCAGCACTGCACCCCGTGTTGACATAAACCAAAAATGTTCTATGAACGGGACTGTCAACAGGACGCCAGAGGAAGAACTTCGACGTGCTCCCACAGCGAACAACAGGATAGCCACCGCGGAGGCACTGAAGCCAATGTCGCTGAAATGCAACTAAATAGTCACTGTCTATACCCCTCAGGCCACGCAACGAAGAGGGTCAACTTATCACCGGCTTCAAGTGCGCCCAGAACATGCGACTCCGTTGAAGGAATCTTTCGGATGGCCACTTTCCTCGGAGCACATACCACGGATCTAAAGCCGAAACATGGACGATGACAGAAACAGGCACAGCTGCGGCAGCATCTCACCTTCGGCCAAGGCTCTTGTAGGTCACGACATACGGAACTCCATCTGTTCGTGATGCGTCATTCTTCGACACGTAGACGAGAGGATTGTTCCTTCGTTCCAGTGCCGTTACACTATGCCTAGCAGTCACCAGCAGGCAGCTTTAGGAGAAGACTGGCCGGGCTGATCATGAAAAAGGGTCACCGCCACCCACTACAAACCTCCCAATAACCACTGTCATCTGTTCCAGCGTCTCGTCCATTGCAAAGCCGGCTTCATCGAGGACATCCTGCAAGCACACACTTCCAAGGCGCCGGTCGCCTGTCTGCAGCTGCGAACAGCTCTGCACATGTCCTTCTGACGATCCTCTATCTCATCGGCCTGTCCATGATCAAAAGAAGGGAAGCAATTCTAGACCAGAATCTGCTCAACGGCCCCTGGGCTGCTCTCCCGTCGAAGCATAGGTTGGTAATCACTCGGCTGCCGATTTCGACACTAGGCACCGAAACAAGCATGAGGCCTCCAGCTGCTTCGGAAGGTGGCCGCGCAAAGCAAGCAATTCTGCTTGCACTTCCCGGTCTTCCTGTGCTGCAAAGCTTGGAGAATGCACGCTGGGACCTGCAAACCTTGTGGTTTATCACCTAGTCATCAGGACAGGTCCTTTGCATCACCTGGACCTTCGCGACGAAGGGCTTTCCGGTTGCATGCTAGACTGTCGGAGGATTAGGTGAAGATGTCGGCGGCTTGCCATACCAACTCAATCCGCCATCACCCCACCCACTGACGCGTGCAGACTCCTGCGATAGGCTTGCAGAGAAAGCCCCCGGCCGCCGACCCATGGCTACACAAGGAGCACGTCTGTGTGTGAGTATGCTGGATGTGGAGGACATGTGCTGCTCCGTGCTTGCTGCGATGTGAAACAAGAATTTATGCACAAAAAATCGAACCACGGTAAAGCAAGGTTAAAGCGTGTCAAAGCGTAAATGGGCATCTCCTGCGCGTCTCAACATGGCCTAGAGCAATGATGTAGCAGATGTTGGAGCAGGACAGACCGTGAAACATGCTGCTGCGAACTCCAGCTCCGCTCACTGAGGGTGTTTTTCCACTTCGCAAGAGCTCAGGCAGCCTCAAAGAGAGCAGCATGAGGATGTGCTTGGCAGGGCCATTGCCGGTCAGGAGAAGATAACTTTGACTTTCTAGGCTTTAGGTTCTATAGGCCCTGCAGCCATAAAGGAAGCATGAACTGCAGGTCCAATGTTTACAAAGTTGTGCCGACCTCGTCTGTCAAACGCATCTTCCGTAGTGAAACGAAGGCCAGGAGCAGCACTCTGTGACAAGAAAATGCAAAAGGGAAGCGACGGGCAAAATGTCCTACAGTACGTTGCTTCCGCCTTTTCCGGACGGAATCCTTCACACGTGCACGGGCAGCCATCTCTCGGCGGCGCCTGACATCCTTATCGAGCACAAGCAACTGCAACCAGCACAACCCTGCAAGCAGCACCGCAGAAAGCCGCTACCAGCACTGTAGCGAAACAGCAGGCTGGCCCTGTGCTGCACAGTTGTGTTCACCGAGTTTCGCAAGCTGTCCAGCCGAGATCTGCCAGCGTGGCGCTGCAAGCCTATGGCGCAAGTGGAGGTCACCTTGAAGACCTGGGTCTGGCGCACCTCTTTGTGAAGCGTCAGTCGCTGTAGTTGTGGTGCAGGTATGGGTTGTTCAGCCACCTGTTCACCACGATGTCGCTCGGAACAAGCACTTGGATTCCAGCGCTAGACAAGCCAAGAGATGCACCCGCCTGAGGAACTCCTTGTAATTCACAAGGCCATCATGGTCCTCCAGATAGACGGATAGCAATTTGCTTGGGCAACAACGACGCCTACAGCAAGCTTTAGATTGATCCTGCCTGAACTGACGATACTGTACCGTCATGTACCGTCGTGCCAGCATCAAAGCACCCCCTGAAACCCCTGCATGCAGGCACACGCCCCGCCGGGTCGGCGAAGAGAAGTAGCTCGTCCACCTCCTGTTCGCTCAGCGGCGCCTGGCCCTGGCCAGGAGAAGTTCGTCACTTAGGGTCCGACGGAGCCCACGGCAAGGGTGTCGACGGCATTGCAGGTTTCCGCAGATCGAAAGAATGCACCATGTGCTGGTAGAGGAGGGTGAAAACGAGAAGCGAACAGGCACAATGCACGGAAAATGCTTCTGTCAAGCACCTCTCTTGACAGCTGCAGTTTTGCAGACCTTGCTCCTGTGCCACGAGGCGACAGCTACCTTCTCAATATTCTTTGGTTTCTTCCCGTCCCAACGCTCCATTCTTCAAGTGCCGGCACGCGGCCTCCTTCATCAGAAGTGCTCGGAGCTCAACTCCTGGAATATAGTCGTCCTTCACTCGCTCCAATTTTCGACATCAGCATGAAGCGCCCAGCAAGACTCAAGACGGTGCTTAGCATCTGTTCTGAATCTTAATGTCTGTTCATTTCGAGGCTACTTCATCGCATCAGCAACACAATGAAGAGTTTGCTCAACTGTAGCTGCTGTCTTGAACTGTCCTTGTTGTCATCTAAGGCCTGAAGCAGCAAAGGCATGGATCCGATGTGGTGACACCTCAGCAATTCCTGGCCTCGAATGTGTGGGGGGCTGATGTCAGGCTGTCTTCGCCCAGGAGCTTTCCTTGGCTTCGGCTTGGCCGTGCAACTTCAACTAGATCACCGGTGCAAGACATCAACAGCTTCAACCCATGTTTGCAGAATTGCCGTTGGAGTACTGCTCATTATTCCCCGCCATTCATTTTGGTCAATCCTGAGGAGGGCGCAAAACTATCAAAGCAAAGAGGGCTCAGTCGTTCTGGCCTGCCATCATTGTTGGCGTCGATATCGTCAATCTGCCAAGAAGAGGAGAACTTCTGCGCTCACGCGTCGCCACTCTAGGCACACTAGGCCCGGCCATGAGCTGGACATCGTGGATGTCGCTAGAGGCATCGATCAGCGAAAATGCCTGTCGCAACGAGTCCTCGGCTCGCACGGGTCTTCCACGACTGCAAGTCGCGGCCCCTGCCGCTGCCCAAGATCCCGCCAAAACTGCCGAGGATCTATTGTAATGACTCTCACGGGCTCCCGTGTTTTCTCGTCCAGGATGGTCTCTCCCTTATCATCCAGCTGCTCCTGTCTCCAAGCAAGATTATCCAAGTCATCCGCTTCAAGCTCGCTCAGTCCTGGCTGAAGGCATCGAAGGACACGCGAATAATTTCCTTCAAGACATGGTTCTGTTCGACTGTTTTCCACCAGGCACGCAACTGGGCTCACACATGCCCCTGCAATGCGGCCTCTTCCTGCGGGGTGAGCTTGTGCCGGAACAAGCGACCCCCAGCTGGGTGCCCGGTGGGACCGGCGTAGTACCTCTCCCGATCGAAAGGATACAGCAGGCGATAAGCTGAACAAGGCTTCCCGGCTTTCAGAGTCTATGCCTACGCTGAGGTCACGTCATGACGGAGCCTTGCTACGGCCCGGCTACACTTGTGAGCTGCAAGCCCAAACAGCGTTATTCTGTCATCGGGCACGTGCAGGGTGTGGGAGGGCTGACGCAGCAAGCTTTTTCCCATTTTGCACCGATCAAACCATCGGTGCAATTCTGCGGCCTATGCCATGGAAAAAGGAGTAAGCCATTTGCACACAGGAGAAGCCGCCGCCCACGAGGGCGAGTGTGGTTGTCACGAAGTCATACCTGTTCACAAAGCGTCGCATGACAGAGAGAGCAGAGACTTAGAGTTCCTGTCTGTGGGTCACCAGTGGCGACGAAGTGAGATCACCACCTCAACCGGTGCCAGGTCAAACGAGAGCTTCACCTCGGCCACCAGGAAAACCGCTAAGATCGAGTGTTCTTCGACGGGAACTGACTGTGCCTTCGGCGACTCATGCCGAGGGTAAGTCTGCATATACCATTGATGCCTCAGAACATCTTTGCTTCGTCACTTCTAGTGGCTGTTGGCACCACTTCTTGAGGCTGAAGCGTGTACAGGTAAAGACGTGCACGCTCGTTGCTCTCGAGGCGGGTGTGCACGATCTTGATGTAGTGATGCGCTCCTGGTGTCAGCTTGCAGTTGAAGAGCATTCTCCAAGAAGATCCGACTTATGACTTTGCAGAGGGCAAATCGGCAGAAGAGGGTGTGAATGAGGTCCTTGGTGAAAGTTCTTCGAGGCAAAGATTCTGCCATCGACTTGAGTTCCATGCACACCATAGCCTTCCTGATTCAGCAGAAACCAACAAGGGGCTGGTTGAGCTGTGTTCGGTGTACACCATGTACTTGCATGGGCAGTCCCCCACCTCCAATGTCTCAGACCGCAGGCTCCAGAATGGGAAAGGGGTTTTAATCAGAGAGAAACAAAAAATCAACATCAAGGTCTGAAATGCGGAAGCAAAAGCTGGACCACTGGACGTGAGCAAACTGATCCAAGCAGTGGCAACCATGCCGAAGCAGTCCTGCTGTGCCAAGCCGGTTAAAGTTTTGAGCGCAAGCTGTTCTGCGTGAACCACGAAGGCGAAGCTGCAGCAAAGAACCAAAATTAAGTCATCAAGAGAATGAGCTTTTCCCCACAGCCAACTCAGGAAGTGTCCCAGTCTCGGAAGCTCTGGGTGGAAGCATGGGGCAGCAGTACAGCAGGACACCGACTGCCTTGAATGTTTGCCATGCAGCGGGAAGCTGTGACTTGAGCTCCTCCCGTTCATCCACCGCATCCAGCGGCCTGCAATGCCGCAACATCGGAGGCCGCCCGGCAGCTGATACAACACAAGCACGCAAAACCCACCCATGACAACACTCCAGCTCAACCGGCTGGCTGCCCCGGCCTACCAAACGAGAGATGGTGGACGGTGTGAGACACATTGGTAAAGGCTGTGTTGAGAACGTGGTCCCCTGCGCTCTTTGCATGGATGTGGATGGTGCCCGGGACACGAGGCACATCTATGTGCCCGCCTCAGGCAACGGAAGGTCGGCTCAACGATCCAAGGAGTCGCTTTCAGAGGCCGGCGCTGACACGACAACCCTCTTCAAACACCTCGTGCTTCGTGACGTGCGTGTGCAAGTGGCGTCCTTTGACCACATCAACCGCCATTCTGGTAAAAGCATCCTTAGATGTCGGTGCTGGTGAAGCATTTCGGCTTGTTTGCTTTACATGTTTGAAAGACTCCCGAACTTGCCCGCTGAACAATTCCCAGCACAGAGCCCCCGCGAAACTGCAAAGCAACTGCAACCGACGGAACTCCCCGAAGCCTTTGACATTATATCGGGCCCTGTGTGCACAGCACCAGGAGTCGTAGCACTGCTGGGCCATCTTTGGGTCCATGATCATCATCCCTTCGAACATATCCATCGCCAAGAGGATGGGTGCTGCCAAACACAACGGGTATGCCGTGATCATACTCAATGAGGACAGCAGCGGATTCGGGCGGTGTCTGGCATACCCTTCCCGGTTTCGGCATGACCATCCAGCCCGCGAGCCTGGGAATGCGAACTTCAAGTCGCGATGTGGTGCCTTGGCCCGCTCCTAAGTTGCAGATGCTCGTCCGCCCATCCAGGCAAAGTCTCTTCCACTCCACCCAAGATTCTGTCACACTGCGAGGGTAGAGCCGCAGCAGGGGAAAGCGGGTCACACTTTCCTGCGGCCGGTGCTGAATCCAGACAACCCCAAGGAAGCGACTTTGACACATAAATGCGACAAGATGTGTGACTGCAACCTTCCTGTTGAAGGGTCCTGCTCGCAAAGCTCCGGGAAACCTTCGGCGCCGCAGTTTACTTGCAAAGCCCACGCGTCCGCCCGTGCACCATCTGCATCTTTCATGACAAGATGTCCTACCAAAGGATGGTCATCGCCGTCTCGAGAGACAGGATCAGCGCTTTCATTCGCATACTGAAGCAACCCTTCCCAGATTGGTCTATATCTGCACTTGACAGAAACAGCACGAAGGCCCCGACCGCGTCCTTCATTTACGTCCTTTGACCACCGCACCCAAGCGGGCATCATCATCTTGCAAGGAGCCGCGCTGCGAATGCAGAACAGCACGAAGACGACGTCGTGCGCCTGCTCTGGCACAACACGGATTCCAGAGCTCTCGAAATTGCCAGAAACGTCGAACTAAGGCGAAAAACTAGGCGCGGCAGTTACGTACAAGCTCTGGCAACAATGCCTCCAAGGCATCGTGGAAGTCTCCACGCTCAACCTGGCCTGCATCTGATCAGATGGTCACTTATAAAGTTGAAAAGGTTGCAATAGGGCTTCATAGGGCGGGCAAGATAACCCATCCCACCCCACAATAATGTTGCGCATTACCGCAGCCTGCAGACAACCAGTCGGCATCCAGCTGCGCTTGCTCTTCTGCTGACAGCTTCGGGCGGTCTGCATACTCCTTGGTCGCACTGGTCTTAATGGGTCGTATTCTTTTGCAGGGCTGGATCCATTCGATGCCATTATCCAGCTCTTCACTTCTATAACGTTCTCGCCACATCTTGACAAGCTGCCCGCCCTAAAAACTCCCCAATCGCGATTGGACACCACAGCACTGGAACTCATACTGTAACCCGCGCCCAGCAACAAGTTCCGTCAGTTCTTCGTCCGTGTACGCGTGGCCCTTCTCGGCTCCTGTCCGCGTCGTCGTCTCCTCGTCTTCGTCGGTCTCGTAATAGTCATGAATAGTAGTAGTCGTTGTCGTCGTCAGCGATAGAAGTGGCAGTCGTAGTCGTAGTTGTAGCGTAGGGGTAGTGGAGGTACATGATTAGTAATAACATAACAATAATGATAGTAGGAGTCGTGGTGGTAGTAGTAGTAGTAGTAGAAGTAGTAGTAGCAGTAGCAGTAGCAGTAGCAGTAGCAGTAGCAGTAGCAGTAGCAGTAGTAGTGGTAGCAGTAGTGGTAGTAATAGTAGCAGTAGTAGTAGTAGTAGTAGTAATAGTAGCAGTAGTAGTAGTAGTAGTAGTAGTAACAACAATACTACTACTACTACTACTACTACTACAACGACGACGACGACGACGACGACTACTGCTACTACTGCTGCTACCTACCTACCTACCTACCTACCTACCTACCTACCTACCTACCTACCTACCTACCTACCTACCTACCTACCTACCTCCCACCCACCCACCCACCTACCTACCTACCTATACTCTGCTACTACTACTACTACTACTACTACTACACCACTACTACAACACCACTACTACTACTACTACTACTACTACTACTCCTACTCCTGCAGCTACTACTACTACTACTACTACTACTACTAGCAGTAGCAATAGCAGTAGTAGTAATAGTAGTAGCAGTAGTAGTAGTAGTAGTAGCAGCAGCAACAGCAGTAGTAGTAGCAGCAGCAGCAGCAGTAGTAGCAGTAGTAGTAGTAGTAGTAGTACTAGTAGTAGTAGTGGCAGTAGTAGCAAAAAGTAGCAGTAGCAGTAATAGCAATAGTAGCAATAGCAGTAGTAGTAGTAGTAGCAGCAGCAGTGGTAGCAGTAGCAGTAGTAGTAGTAGTAGCAGCAGTAGTTGTTGTTGTTGTGGTAGTAGTAGTAGTAGTAGTAGTAGTAGTAGTAATAGTAGCAGCATGCAGCAGCAGCAGTAGTAGAAGTAGTAGTAGCAGCAGTAGTAGTAGCAGCAATAGTAGTAGTAGTAGTAGTAGTAGCAGTAGTAGTAGTAGTAGTAGTGGTGGTAGTAGTAGCAGTAGCAGTGGCAGTAGTAGCAAAAAGCAGCAGCAGTAGTAGTAGCAGTAGTAGCAGCAGCAGCAGCAGCAGCAGCAGTAGTAGTAGTAGTTCTTATAGTTCTAGCAGCAGAAGTAGCAGTAGTAGTAGTAGTAGTAGTAGTAGTGGCAGCAGCAGTAAGAAGAACAAGAAGAAGCAGTAGCAGTACTAACAATAGTAGCATAGCAGTAATAGTAGCAGCAGCAGAGGTAATAGTAGTCGTAGTAGTAGTAGTAGTAGCAGCAGCAGTAGTAGCAGTATTTTCGTTTAGTAATACTAATAGTGTAATAGTAGTAGTAGTAGTAGTAGTAGTAGGAGTAGTAGTAGTAGTAGTAGTAGTAGTTGTAGTTGTAGTTGTTGTTGTTGTTGTTGCATGAGGGTTTGTAAATGACGTTTCCTTGGTCGCTCACCTCACTAGATCTGATGTAGATGCACTAACAATTGTGGTAGTAGTCGTTGGCTATCCTTTGCAGGCACGCGGACAATAATTTTTCTTCCTTGGAAAGCACGGTGCTTAGCCGAAGGTCTGTGCAGCGGGAATCGTTTGGAAACTTGGATCAGACACCTACAACTTGCGTCGAAAACTCTTAACTTATGGCAGTTTCTTGAGCCACAAAGTTGCGTTTAATGGAGCATTTGAACGGGTTTTGTACATTCTGCCAAGCAGTAATGTTAACATCAGCAGCCCGCCATGCAGTCCTGCGACACTTTGCTCATAATGTTCACTTCATATAAACACCGCCCCCTGAAAATTGATTGCACACCCAGGCTGGGGGGATTATTGAGGGGGGGTCGGTCGTCGTAGTACAGTAGTACAGCATTACACAAGTACTGTAGAACAATAGTGCAGTAGTACAACAGTACAAGAGCACAACAGTGCAGTAGTACAATAGTACAGAGGTACAGTATTGCAAGAGTACAGTAGTAGTACAGTAGTACAGCAGTACAGTAATACAGTAGTACAGTACTATTACAATCTTACAATAGCAGTACAATCAGAGTACAGTAGTAATACAGCAGTAGAGTAGTCGTGCAATAGTAGTACAATAGTAGTACAGCAGTAATACAGCAGTAGTAGTCCAATCGTGACTAGCTTCCTATGTAATTCGTGGGGTGTCACGATAAGAGCTAATGTTGACGTCAATACTATAAACCCCCTCGATTATAAAACCCGATCCCCGGAAGGCCTTCTGGTGGTGCCTGCAGAAGCCAGGAAAAGGAAAGCAAACTTTAGAAGCCGAGCGCTTCATCGATTGGGAGAGCTTTCGATTCGAAGGACAGCAAGCTTTAGAAGCCAAGCCCTTGATTGGGAAAGCTTGGATTCGAAAGGACAGCAAGCCGTAGAAACCAAGCAAATACTCCTGTACTACTACTGTACTACTATTGTACTACTATGTACTACCACTGTACTACTTCTGTACTATGGAAACCTTGCGAAAATATTGTAACGAGCCTTGATTCCCAGTTAAAAATGTTGTACTGCGTCAGTAACAATCCCCCGAAATGACTTGACAGGGTCAGAAAGTCGCCAAAGAAAGCGGCAGTGCGATGAAGATCACATAGAAGATGCCGGTGCCAGAAGGACATGCTGATGCACAGACTGTGGCCCAGACTCGTCGGAAGTCACAAGACTCCCAACGCTCTTGGCTACACCAGGATTTGCTGTGTTTTTGCAGAGGAGTGCGAGGAGCGCAAGCAGTTGAGCCACCATGCAGCCCACGGCCGTTTTTGATTGGGGCCCCGAGCCAGTCTAGCAGGCTTGCAGTTCGAAGTCGTCGTCGTGGAAGTGCTGGTGGTAGTAGTAGTAGTAGTAGTAGTAGTAGACGTAGCAGTCGTAGTAGTAGCAGTAGTAGGAGTAGGAGTAGAAGTAGTAGTGGTAGTTGTAGTAGTAGTAGTAGTAGTAGTAGCAGTAGTAGGAGTAGAAGTAGAAGTAGTAGTAGTAGTTGTTGTTGTTGATGTTGTAGTAGTAGTAGTAGTAGTAGTAGCAGTAGTGGTAGTAGTAGTAGTAGTAGTAGTAGTAGGTGGTAGTGGTAGGTGGTAGTGTAGCTGCAGGGAGGATAGATGTAGCCGTAGTCGTAGCAGTAGCAGAGAGGCAGTAGCAGAGCAGCAGCAGGAGCAGCAGCAGCAGCAGCAGCAGCAGTTTCAGTAGCAGCTGTGTAGTGGCAGCTGCAGTGGCAGCAGGCAGTAAACACTAGTAGGCAGGAGGCACGTGGCAGCAGGCAGGCGACAGCAGGCAGTCGGCAGTCGAGTTGTGTAGTCGTCGTAGTAGTAGCACTAACTAGCACTAGTAATACTAGTAGTAGTAGTAGTAGTTGTTGTTGTTGTTGTTGCTGTAGTAGTAGTAGAAGTAGTAGTAGTAGTAGTAGTAGCAGCAGTAGTAGCAGCCGTAGGAGTAGCAGCAGCAGCATTAGTACTAGCAGTATCGTCGTAGCAGCTAGTAAAGGGCGGCAGCCGCAGCAGCAGCAGCACCAGCACCACCACAAGAACCAGCACTACAACAGCACCAAAGATCTCACTGTTGTTGCTGGTACCGGTACTAAGCCAATGGCCAACAACACTTCACACCATCAGTGCTTTCCCCTGATGATAAAAGGAAGTCCTCTGTGGTCTATCGGCTGCTTTTGGACGTCCCGAGTCAGATTCGAGCGGACATTCCCGAAAGCATCAAAGACCTGCCACAGCAAGCTCGGCTCAAGCAAAATTCAAGGTTGCTGCAGCCGGACATGCGGGGTGGCTTCTGTTGCTTAATGTGTAAAACCAGCGGCGCCAACGGTTGCATAATCGCAGGATAAATCCGCAATCGAAACGTTGAAGCTTATCCTCAACAGCTCGCTTTGGTCGGAATCAATCCTTAGACAGGACATCTTCTCAGCTGCAGGACATGCGAATGCCCACAGGCAGCATCTCGTGTTGAATGCAAGCCACTCCAACCTGGAGGCCGTATGATTCTCCAGGAAAGCATACCTGTGGGCTAAGCCAACACAGACTAAGGCGAGGGTCCAACTAAGTTGCAATCAAGCCCTCGCAGAATGAAACCACTGAGCTAGGTAGCCCTAAATCCTTATTCAAGCTGCGAGGCAACTGCAAGGCAAGGAGGGTGGAGCAAAGAACAGCCGCTACGACTGTCGCCGAAAACCCCAACCACCTCAGTTCCAGGGTGGCACATGCATCGTATGCCTTCTGTCATGAATGGCACTGTAACGCGATCCAGACACGTCTCTTCTTGCAGGATTCCTTGCACGGGGCTCCGGAAGTAGTCCAGGGACCTCTGCAGTCCCGGCCCCAAGCCAAGCAAAATGATGCAGGTGGTCACTTCGCACAGCGCACGTGCTGCACGGGTGCTTGAAGCTCGCAACGCGCCGTCTGAGACCATCCGGCATTCCAACATCCAGCGGCCATGCGGCGGTGTCATGTAAGATGCCAAAGTGCAAAAGAGGCCGTTGCCTAAAATAAGGAAGTGTGAGCAAGTGTTTGTCCGTGTTTGTCGTGTGCTGTGCAGGGAGGCTTGGGCCTGGTGTGAGCTTTTTCCGTAACGCGGCCTCGAGTAACCGTGAACACTCGATGATCACCGGATACCTTTCGGGTTGCCCGCATACATGGTGCCATGCTGGAAACTACGGGTCGTGACAGCTTGCTACTTTGAGCACACAACTTCCATGGATTCTGCATTGTGTCCGTGTGTGCCAGTCTGAGCTCCGAACATCTTGTGCCGCCAAGTGGTCGAGGCCACCAAGAATAGTTGATACCATGGACCTTCCGGGCATCGAAAGACAAGATGAACCCTGCCATGGCTGCCATGGAGGCTCTGCCAGGCTGAGCAGGCAGGCAGGCCTCATCAACTCCGGCACTGTCTCACTCATGGTGGCAAAGCTGCCGGCCAATGAAACCAGCCTCAGGCAATCGCCATGAGAATAATCAGTAGCCCATGAGCCTCTGTTTTGGAGCCGACGTGGCTTGGTGCTTCTATGTTCCTGCAAACTGCAACCTAGAACCTCCAAGCCGCAAGCTCCTGTGGGGACAGTCGGTATAGGCGACGCCCGACCTTCCGCGCCCTATGCCCCGATCTCCGATGCCAAGGCGTCAACCTGACTCGGAAACTTGATGCCTCTTCTGACAGGGCTTCCACCAGACCGTCGCAGCGCCCCATCCTAGACAAACGATGCAAACGATAAAACAGTCAAGTCTGAAGTGCAACATGTGTCCTCGGCTCTGCCCAGAATCCTGACCCCGGTCTGTTTGTGACTGAGGACGCAACTGCGCCAAGCACCTCGGAGCCAGGCATCCATGTCACATTTTCCCGCCCTCACCACTGCAAGCAGATTACGACCGTGATATTGCCATCTCGCCGTGGCATGCACGGTGTCATGACTCGGTCGCAGACCACGCCGAGGAGACTAGTTCGGAGTCACTGAAGCTTCGCATGCATCTGCACGCTGCTTTTGCCAGTGCCTGCTGAGACTGCAAACATTGCAAAACAACGGAGGTCCAGGTGCGCCCGCTGCCCAGCTGCAGCACACATCAAGTAAGGCAGGGAACATGCCTCGCTTGCCACTTCTTGGCCAGGTATGCGGCAGAGGCACTGCAAGACATTAGCCTTGCAAAACTTCTTGATCATGCCAGCATATGCCAACCATACACTGCCACTCCACGTGCGGAGCACAAGCAAATCAAAGCAAAGGAGGCACACAATGAATATGTCAAGCATCTGCAAGCCCTACAGGGGCCTACAGGACAAACTGCTGTCGTCATTGCAGTGGCCGGCAATGGCCGGTAAGCAAAACATACCGCAACCGAGTTCTGGACGAGCTGCTGGGAAGTAAAAGCATCTGCCTGGAAGCCATGGCAGGTGTTCTACCAACACGGCTGACAGAACAGGCTTTCTTCTGTCCGCATGAATGAAAGCGAGACCCTAAAAATGAATCGCCTAGTTCCGCCCTATCCTCCCCGAGCGGAACACCTCTTTTCCTTTTGCATGGTGCCTGGTTGAGGGCTTGTGGCGTAGGGCGCTGTTAGGTCAACTGTTAGATGTCACATGAAAACCAACTCGGATTACAGCTCCATGTCCAGTGATGCCGCCCGGCCTCAGCGGCACAGCGGGCGGCCAGTCGCTGGCAAGGACCCTCCTCTGCAAATGCCGGCCTCGCGCGGGACAGCTGGAAAGAGACGAATTTGGGGTGATTCAGAAAAGTGTTTTGTTGCTGGGCTGTGACAGTGGATCAAGCTTCGGATCGATTCAGAAAAGTGTTCCCTTGCTGGGATGTGACAGTGGATCAATCTTCGGATCAAGTTGCCGAGGGCCCAACTGCCTGGACATCGTCCACAGCCTTGGCCGTGCACAAGCGCATGCCAGCAAGGGCTGAATACCCGTTTCTGCTGTTTCTGAAGCATGCGCAGATTGCCAAGCTCCTCTATCTCGCAGCTGTCGGCCTGTGATGCAAAGCATGCGAAGACATGCCGTTGCAGGGCGTACCATGGCAACTTGCATTCTTTGGTTCGAACATCTGTCTCTCAAATGATGCTGAAGCTGACCTACTTCAGACCAAGGAGGCCAAGAAACTGCTAGTTGCTGTGCAAGCGGGCAATCAAAGGCTCCATCAACGTCGGTGGTAGTTTTTGTTGTGCGATGTCACAGCTCTGGCAGGCTCTGGCTATTCATCGTCGAGAGTACATGATCGGTACGTTTCAGTGGGTGACACCTGTCCCTGCCACCGGTCGAACCTGATCCTGTTAAAGAGAGGCGTCAATGACAAGCTGGAGGCGCTCACAAGGCCACATAGAGAGTTTGCACCGAAGCTTCCTCAGCAAAGATTGCGATGTCTCGGCAACACATGAACATGCACATACAATACGAGACGCTCTGCGGAGCACTCGCGAAACCTGACCGACATTGTACCAGTTGGCATCACGAAAAGATGCCGACCGTTCACGCTTATCGTTTCCCACTGAAGAACCAGAAATGCTTTTCCAAAGCGCTGATTCACAGCCTGCTGGCACAGTGTTGCCAAGCAGGCTCGTCCTCGCAGCCCATACTGTTGTGGTGCACTCATTTGGGCAATGGCCGTGAGTTCCTGGCCTTTGCCTAAAGAGTACAGGGTGTGAATGGAGGATGTGTGGACTCACCTCGCCTCCAGTTCGAGGACCCACTGCCGTCTGGCCTGTGCGCTTCGGCGTCTGTGCGGGCACTGGGGAGTTCATGGATGCTTGCATGGGGTGGCCAGTCAGTGCCGCTGACCCCTGAGATGGCGGAGGGGAAGGTTTCCCCTGGCAGCCATACCCTCCGTACCGGCCATCCATCCATCCGTCCATAAAAGCACTGATTAGTCAAACCCAAAGCTGACTCGCTTGACACTCTTCGGCGCTTCGGATGCCCCTGCATGGACGAGTGACAGCTTGGGAAAGCGAACCGCACACCAGCAACCAAGGCCCGTACCTTGACAATGGCTCACAACCCTCTGTACCGAAGGGAAGGTTCTCGGCAGGGGAACTGTGAGGGCCCACGGAAAACCGGCACGAAGAAGTGAGACAAGCATAGCGGGACTCCGTCTTGAAGAGGCCGCGAAAAAAACCGAGGCGTTAACCTCGTCTTTGACTGGCGATGCTAGGCGAAGAGGACCGGTCAGCGGAGATCCAACAGACTGCCTGTGAAAGACAACCCAGACAGACGACAGAAGCAAAAGGAGGCGGCAGTTTGGGCCCCACGTCCAGCCCAGGGTCATCTGTGGATTGCAGCTGTCGGTTCCCAGTTTCGCGGCTCCACACCGGAGCATTCCTGGCTCCGAGAACCCGAACCAAACCGGGAGATGTTGAGGCAGAACGAACGACAACGGGCAAAGCAAAGCTTCGGAGGAAGTGCGCCGGAGCCGGCATCCCCCCTCGCTGACCGCGACCAGCTCGGCAACGGAACGCTTTAATCCGAAGGGCAGCACGGTCCGCGGTTCAAATCAAGCTGCTGGACTCAACAGCAGGACAGGACAGACGGCCTAAATCGTGCATGAAGTCGGTGTTTGATGAGGCGCAATGTGGAAAAGGCATGAAACGATCCACTCAGGAAGAGGATGCGACGTGTTTCAAACTGCATGTTTGGCAATCTGAGAAGCTTGGAAGCTGGAGCATTCACGGAACATGAAGTACAAAGGTACAACAACCTGAACTAGCACACAGCGCTCATTCACTGACAAGCGATCTACAGGACACGGCTTGGCCTAGCCCTACATCCAATGAAACCTACAGTATGCACCCATTCTAAAAGGATTGTAAAAGCGGTTCCACATGGAGTTTCGTGCGTGTGTGCACACACAGACACACACACACACACCTGCACACACTTACACGAAGCTGATACAGTTTGGCACCATCACCCCCTAAACCAAAGTGGAGTGACAGCCACATGTGCGGCCAAAGTTCCACCTCCATCCGCAGCATCAGGTCCAGTTCCTCGGCCCGGTGCCCAAAGTCTAATTTATACCTGTGCCCATTAGCTGGGGAGGTCAGTGCTGCCAAGGATCCAGGATTGCATCTTGATCAGGCGATTTCCGTGCATTGCTTATGTGGGGAAGAGCACCCAGGACATTCAAGTCACCATAGACGACGGCCCCGGCCGTCACGGAGACAGTCTTCACATGTTGTGAAACTAAAGCATCCAAGCCTCAGATTTTTCCGGGGCAAAGCTTTGCAAGAAAGGCAGTGCACATGCACATGCCGGTGACTTGGCCATTGACCTGACTGGCCATCCGGAGCTCTGAAGCTGGCCATGGCTATGCGGAGTCTCTGCACCCAGCCATCCCAGCCGGAAAATATCTGAGCATGACTCAGCAGGAGTTCAGAAAAGACCGCGAAGCTGTCGCTTTGGGAACAACTGAGCTTCTGGCTTGCCTCCAAAACACCTGGCCTTGCTGCACATCGGCCAAGGAAGCCCTTCGCACTCCCTTGAAGTGCCGTTCATCGCCCAGGCTCTGCAGCTGTGCCACGGCCGGCGAGGCCTCGATTTCTGCTGTGGATGCTCCAGGTGGCGGGAGCAGCGCTGTCCAGATTAGTGGCAAATAGAAGGCCTTGCGTGCCGAGGGATTGAATCTCACGTTCCGGCTCTGCTTCACTCTGGAGAAGTAGCACCGCAAGAAAAGACTTGGCAGATTTGCAAGCCAAGCCACAGAGCCGGATCTGGGTACTGGTTTGCCAGCTTCTGGCCAATCTGAGCATACAGTCAAATGTGGGAACGCCTCCACGCATCGTTGTGGTCTTACTCTTTGCAGATCCTCCAACGTCAGCTGCAGTCTCCCAGGGTCACGCTGGGCAGCATCCCATTCGGAGCCCTTTTCGCCGTAGCCACCCTTGTTCCTGCCCTTGCCGGAATTCCTGCCCCCGCCCTTTTTGCCGCCCTTGCTGCCTTCCGAGCTTTTGCCTTTGCCATTCGCTGGCTTGGGCGGCTTGGGCCCTCTCTGTCCGTCTTTCCCGGTCGCTTCGTCGCCTTGGCCCTGGCCTCGCTGGCCAGCTGGCGCCAGGGGGTCCCTGGCCTCGTGCGCCATGGCGGCACTAGACGTGACCTCTGAATGCTCGGAGTTTGATGCAGGGCCTGGCACCCCATGTTAGAGTCTGTCAGATCACATACGGATCGTACGATGTGATTGGAAGCTGAGCCACATTGATATGAACATATCGCCGCAGCTTGGGTCTCAGAAACACACCCCCAATCTGTGCACCGATGCGAGAGGCAGGCCAGAGCGCTCGTACAAGTTGCAAACACTGTCAAGATGAAGGTCTAGAAAACTGGACAGGCACCAGCACAAGCCTGGAAGCCTGGAATTGTAGTTGCACTTCAATGCAACTCTAAGCAAAGCTGACGGCTGACTTATGAGCCAATTTCGGGGAAGTTGCTTATGACGCCCTCCCGACTAAAAGCGGCATCAGCGCCTCGCGGTTTGCAAGCTAACCTGGGCTGTTGCCCAGCTAGGCAGACGGTGTGCCGAGGCGACGCACTTCGCGCGACAACCACGGCAACTCCGAAACGAATTGGATCACGGGCTGCCGGCCTACCGCTCGAAGAACCCATGCAAGGCCAATGCAGACGGAGCTAGCACTGTCTCGTTATGTTGAGTGGAGCAGAGGGCAGGTCCGTTCTACGAATTCCAACGCCGCGGCTTCGGTGGCGATGTGACAAAACTGAAGGGAGAGAGCACTGCCGGCGACAAGGCTCGGCCCAAGCGCTGGCCCAGTGGGGAGTGGGACTCGTACATAGCTGTGGCCTTGCATGCCGTCTTCCTGCATTGACTGTCCGACTCCCTCCCGAGCTCTGAGAGCAGCAGCTGTGTGCCCAAATGGCAACAACTATCCGATCCTTGATAAGGCGCTCCCTTAAGAGTAAGAGAATTAAACCATGCAGTCGATGGGCGGCGTCTGTTTGTTGCTGTCCTCCAATCAATACCTGCAGCAAAGACTGGAAAGCGGGGCCTGCAACCGACAGTGAGGACTGCGATCCAAGAGAGAAATAAAGGTTCTTAGTTCTTGCTCTTAGAGAAAGGCAGAAGTGTGAAGTATGGGATGTCGAAACACTGTGAGGAAAGGTTTCTTTTGCTGGCAAGCGGCCGATTCCACATCGACGCCCACATCCACATCACGAAGGTACAAACTACGCAACAGCAAGTTGCAGTTCGTCCTCCCGCTTCTCTGCTTCCACTTCGCTTGCATGGGAAAAGCGCGCGGGGGAAAGCACATGTTTCAGCAAGCGTTGTCTAACACTCCACGAGGTGTTGTCATGTTCCAGTCTCGGAACCGGGTGCGGGCGCGCACTCGGCAATGGCATGCACTCGGCAGCCGAGCTGAATTGCCAGGCTTTGGCAATACTTTCCAGCGGCTTGCTGGAGACATCGAGGGTGTCCTTGTTTTCCTGTTCCCCTGCAGCACCTGCATCCTTCGTGTCCTGCCAAGCCGCATCCCTGCAAACGTCGGTTCGGCATGGAACACGAACCGACCAACGGGACCAGCCGCAGGAATTGAGAGCCCGGACTTGGCAGACGTATCGTGTAGATGGCCTCAAACCCAAAATCCTTGTCATGGTCTGGGTTGTTCGCACCCGTTGTTCTTCGGCACCCTCTTCTGGTGAAGTCGCCGCCTCCTCCTCCTCCCACCGAACCTCATAATCCAGCACCGCCGCGGCCTTTGTCTTGAGTTTTGACACAGATGAATGTGTGCCCGACTATATGGAAGCGACGAGAGCTGCACGAAAATGATAACTATGGGCTCAGATAGCTTAGATCGTTGAATTGCAGCAAACCCCGCAGCAAGTCTTTGCAACACATATTAGTTCACTATCGACAGGTGCCCATGAAGTTTCCGAACTTGACCTAGCTTACCATGCTTCGGAATTTCGTTCCGCATGTTGTGGCAACTGAGCTGCGCTTTCCGGAGGGTGCCAAGTGAGCTCGACGGCCATTGAAGTTGTTCGAACAACTCCTTTGGCTGGGAAACACGATTCTCGGCGTACCCTGGGTTAAAGAATACCATTCGTAAACGTCCCGCAGCATTCTCTTATGATGAACAACTTTCGTGGAGTGCAGACCCGTAGACAGCAAGACCAAGTGTTCCTCATGTCGCATGAAGCCTTCGCCCCTGTTTTGCCTGTTGAAATCCTTGTGCCTCGCTAGTGCGTTTCGGATTGAGCTAAACTCAGGATTTGCCCAAACGTGTCAAGGCGAATGCCATTAGCCTCTGATCCTCCAAACTTGACCATCCCTGTTCCCCGGCCAGCATGCTATGCTTGCTGGCTCCAATCTGCTCCGTCTTCTAATCATCGCCACCTGTATACTTCTTCTATCCAAGCCACTCGGTGCATCAGGCCGGGCTGGTGGACTGGCGTGTTCCGAACATTGGGACCACCCACTGCAGGCGCTCCAACCAAACTCGTTCCGAGCACGGACTGCAAATATGTAGCGGTGGTGCAAGCGTAGTCCTGCGCAGTCAAGAATATGAACCCGCAACGGCCGCGGCAGCAATAGCGCTGCCGTCGTCGTGCATGTCGTCGTGGTGGTACTGGTTTGGTCGTGGCCGGGGCTGGGGTTGAGGATGTCTTCGCGGTCGGCGTCGTGGCCGTGGCCCCAGTAGCAAACAAGATCAAAAGTAATGGCAGAAGGTCAATAGCACTAGCAGTGGTAGGCGTCGTACACATGTGATTAGTCGCAGTGCTAATAAGTAGTAGTCGTCGTAGTAGTAGTAGTAGTAGTTGTTGTTGTTCTAGTAGTAGTAGTAGTAGTAGTAGTAGCAGCCGTAGTAGGAGTAGTAGTAGTAGTAGTAGCAGTAGCAGTAGTAGTAGTAGTAGTAGTTTTTTGGCTACGGCCCTGCACGCGGTATGGCGCGCATTGGCGCCGGCTCAAGCACTCTAAGGTGTCTGGTTATAAGGGCATACTTAAAGTGTGGCCCAAAGATGCTATATCCCGAGGCGGAGTGGTCGTAGATTTCAATGACGCTTAGCAGTGGTTTGGTTTCTGCCCAATAGGCTATCTGTCTTCCCCTGCGACGCCCTTGTAGCTTGATTCGATCTTTATAAGGCTCCTGAAACACAACACTATAAACCGGTTCATGGGGGGCGGTTTGGTAAACTCTGGACATGCATTTACGGGGATACCCAGCTTGGCACCAAACCGGGTAATTAGTGATCCGGGAGAAGTAGGCTGCTTTAATACCGATGACTCTGCGCAGATACCCAAAATAAAATCCGTTGAGTCTTTTCAGTTGCGGTGTGGTCAGGGTAAATGCATCAAGGCCGTACAAAAGCGTGGGTAGAAATACCGAAAGAAAGATTCTAAGCTTAGCTTTCTTGGGGAGGCGGCTGTTCCAGACAAGTCTTAATTTCTTGTATGTTTCGATGGTTAGTGCACGCCGGTGGAAGAAAGCAGTTTCGAACGGTTTGTTCCAAGAGACCAGGGAGCCAAGATACTTAACAGAATCCGAAGTAGGTACCTGGGAGCGATCCTGGAAAAGTAGGGTTTGGGGTCCAAATCTGGGATCAATTAAGAGCTCCGTTTTTGTGGAGTTAGGGAACATACCATACAGAGCAGCTTCGCCTTCCAGGGCAGAAAGTATCTTCTGCATTTGCGGAATGGT